ATAAAATGAAAATAAAAACCATATGGTAAAGGACAGGCAGTGCTGGGGTGTGGAGATATACAAGTATGTCTTTTCCTTACTTTTCTGTGTTTTCTACATTTTCCAGCACATACAGATCTACTATTAAAAATTAAAGGCAAAAAGAGGGATGCTGGCACCTCAGACACTTGGTCTCTTGTCAGCTAGCCTCTTTGTCTCTTGGGCACACCCAGGAGAGCCTGGCCCACCTAGATGTGGATAATAGAAGGCACATCTTGGCATCACAAGATCAGGGCTTGGTGTAGGAGGTGGATCATTTGAGAGGGAAGACCTGCTTTGTGAAGGCTGGGCCTTGCCTGGGCCTGAGATTCCTCTGCCTACATAATTCTAGATTCCTCAGTGGTCCAGGTATCAGTTTTCCCATCTGTATACTCAAGCCCCTTTAGGGACTGTGGCCAAGATCCTGACCAGCTGGGATGAGCCCTGAGGGCATGTAGCACCTCCCCCCCCCCAGGGCACAAAGGACAGCCCCAAGGAAGACACAGCAGGGAGCCATCTCTGCAGACTCATTATCTCACAAAATGCAGAGGGAAGCAAGTACTTTCAGACTCTGGAATGGCCTAATACGAATTTGAAGGACAGTGAAAGTATTTTGAACATAAAAAGTTTAACTAAAGATGTATTAGCCAACTCAGAGCTGCAAAGTGTCAAGATCAGGTCAGTTCTGCCCCCCCACCCACTAAAAAAAAAAAAATTAGGAATCAGAATCCCCAAGTCTGAGCTGCTAAGGGGCATTCCACAGGGGCGTTCTTACCACACAGAGCTGAACTGATGACTGCTGGGCCTCCGCAGCTGAGGGTCAGGCCAGGACAAAGGGTACCCAAGCCTGAGAGAAGGAAGGCACTTCACTCAGCCTGAGTCCAGAGGCATTCATGAGCAGATCCCCTAGGACAATCCCGGCAGGGAACAGCTAGAAGGTGACTATAGTCAGAATGACTGTATGAGGTCCAAGGGAAGGGCACAAGGAGTAAAGGAAGCTCTGGAGAAGACAACAATGAGGCTGGGGGCCTATAAACACGGCGCAGGGGGGGGGGGTTGTGGACACCAAAATAGCCATCTGGTGGCAGCATATGAAGACTGCCCAGGAGAGCCCTCAGGCAGAGAACACAGCTAGGCCACTTCATCTGATGGCCTGGACACTATAAGCCTTGCCATTCTTACAGCATAGGCCATACGACTAGTCACAAATCATACTGAGAAAGGGATGGCAAGGTGAAGTACCTGGCTAGCCTATACTAGGCTCTCCAGTCATGCAGGCAAGGTTCTTATGTGGCAGCCAGATCAACTGAATTGTCCACCAGCCCTTGTGGCTGAGACGCATATAGAACATGAGTGAGGGAAGTGCCTCTACCTTGAATCATGAAGATGCCAAAGTTGGTGATCACTGAAGATGAGGCCAACTGGCTTAACACCCACCCCACTCCCAGCATGACAAAGCTGCTTGGTCAAGGGGTGCCCCCAGGTGAAAGGTCATATAAGCTGATATCAGGAAGCTCAAGCTCCTCAGGGATGGCTCAGGGATTGGGGACCCTGGGGGTCCTGCAATGACCCTAACAGTAGCCAGAATGTGGTATCTAAAGGCTAGACACCTACAAAGAGGTCCAGGTTACATTCCGGGCTTCTAGGGAGGTTCCTATCACAACAGGGACCAAGTCCCCTGCTCTTGGTCAATGGGCCCCAAGTATACCACAACCTATGCAAGGAGGGTCAGCCTGCTTAAGCAGCATGAGTTTCAAGGGAGTCCCATAGAGATCTCAGGGAAGGGAGCTTGCAGTAGTTCAACACACATTCAAAGAAACACGCAGAACAACCAAAACATTGAGAATAAAGACTGATGGCATGGAGTCTCCCTTACTTGGTCTTTTAGTTAAAAAGTAACAAGCAAACCTGGGCCTGATGTGGCTGCAATGGCCAATGTTGGGCATGGAGCTCAGGGAGTGGGAGCTATTATCAAAGCTGAGTGAAGGGACTGTTTGTAACTAGGGACTGCCTGCCTGTCACCAGTGATAGCAAACCTGAGGACATAAGGACATCAAAACATTTCCAACTTCTAGTGACATTAGGCAAGATATTAGGCAATAAATGGTTCATATGCAACAGGAAAAACTAAACTAAACTCTCACCTGATGTTTATGTAAAAAAAAAATTCTAGATGGATTAAATGCTAAGTGTTAAGAACTAAAGTAGAAACATCTACTAGAAGAGAAGACAAACATGTATTTATCTGGCTACATGCTGAGGAGGACTATACACAGAGTGATGGAACAACTAAAGAAAGGGAAAAAATCCAACATTTTGCTACAAAGTATGAAAAATTTCTGAACATCAAAAACTGTCAAAAACAAAAATTAGGTGCTGGGGATGTGGCTCAAGCGGTAGCGCACTTGCCTGGCATGCATGCGGCCTGGGTTCGATCCTCAGCACCACATACAAAGATGTTGTGTCCGCCAAAAACTAAAAAAATAAATAAATATTTAAAAAAATTAAAAAGCTGAGAAAAATATTCAGCACGCAGGGAGATGAGCAAATAATTAATATCTTTAATATAGAAAGGCTCATATTAAGAGCTAAGAAACTCATCAAGACCCCAGGGGAAACTCAGCACAGGGACAGGCTGGGCTGGGTGCCTGTTTCTGAGAGGGAATACCAGGGCTGGCCCCCACCAGCCCTTGTCACCTAGGCCTGGCATCAGCATATGCCAACCCATCACATGGCCCTCCAGCTCTCCATCCCCAGGAAGCCCCTGCCATTCACCATCTCACAATCCCACAGTTAGCCACTGTTTCCCTGTTTGATATCCATCTTCTCAGCCAGACTGGGAGCTTCTCAAGGGCAGGGCTGGGCCTGGTGGGGTTGCCATGCCCAATGTTGGGCATCGGGCTCAGGGAGTGGGAGATGTTATCAAAGCCGAATGTAGGACACACATGTGTGTTTATATCAGTCCCTATCTCAACTTAGCTTTGATGTCTCCCTCCTATCTCCTTCCTGGTTATGGACAAAACTATATCCTGGGGCCCAGCAGAACAGGGAACCAAAAAGTATGGGCCTGGCTTCTACTTGCTAGTCTGTGAAATGTGGTCTACTACAAATGCCATCACCCATTCATCTAATGCCTAGGTCGGACATGAATAATCAATCACAGAACTCCATGGTCAGAGTAGAGGCAAGGAGAAAAAAGAAAAAGAGGGGGAGAAAGAGAGAAAGAAACAGAGCAATAGATATGAGGAGAAGACCAGGAATTGGAAGCAGGAAAAGAGACAGAGGGACAGGAAAGGAGTGAGCAATGGCAGGAAAATCAGGTGATAAGGGCCAGGTAGCCTTGGATGTGTTTAGCTCCCACGCCCTCATAGACTTCGTTATTAAAGATGACATCTGACCTGGCCTCCCTAAGAAGTTAAGGGGGATGGGAGCCACTCTCTCCTCACGCTGTTGTCTCCAGACACTGTTACCTTCTGTCACAAGCAATGTTATGTCCCAAGTCCTGGACACTCCGGCCCAGTAAGCCCTGGACACAGCCTGAGCCTCTTCTTCCCAGAATTCCCTGTATGGGTCAATGACCTGAGCACTGAAACACTTGGCCAGATACTGGTCTTCCCACACAGGAGTCAGCAACAGATTTAGCTCTTCCCAGGCTGACCTGGGCTGGCCTGGTCAGCAACTTCCCACACACAAGGTCCTTGGGAACAAGGAATGAGAAACCAGACCTCTCTCTCTCCCTTCCCCTACATTCCTTTGTACAGAACACTCAGGCACCCAAAGACCTAGGGATTCCTGGGTCTGCTGCTACCATCTTCTCCCAAGCACAGTACCAGTGGGCAAGGCTTCCACACTGGGTGATAAGTGTCACTAAGAATCCACAGGGCTGTCATTAGTTGAGCCTCCCAAGACAGCACTCACTAGGTAGGGAAATGGACAGATAGCTGGCTGGGAATTGGGCATCTGTACTGGAGGAACAAGAGTAACTAGGAATACTTTTTGTAACCAATCACCCATTCTGCCCAACAGCAACCATCACAGCAGTATTCTTGACAGGGTGTCAGGTGCCATCAGGGAGTCCCTTCTATTCAAAAGGGTATAGGGGGACATAATTATCACTTGGCCTTCCAATCTGTTGTATCTTCCCAGTACAACATCTCAGTGAGCTATAATTAACAGATGAACTCAAAACACAGATCACACCACTGGCAGGAGCCAGCACATATAACCCCCCAGCTGTGCTCAGAGCAGGATATCATTTGCTAGGGCTAGAAGTGTTGGTGAGTGGTTCAGTACCCCTGGGTTCAATCCCTGGTTTGAAAACCAAAAAACAAAAAGAAGGAAGGAAGGAAGGAAGGAAGGAAGGAAGGAAGGAAGGAAGGAAGGAAGGAAGGAAAGAAGGAAGGATGGATCATTGCTAGAATTGTCTACAGTTGTTCTTGCTCTACAATGGCAGAGTAATGTGGCTGTGACAGAGATCACAAACCTGAAAAACTGCAATATTCATTATTTGCCTCTTTCAGACAAAGTCTGTGGAAGCTGGCCTTGAGGCCCAACAGCTATGACCAGCCAGGTGCTCCAATCTCCTAGGAGCTACCCTGAGATGAACACAAGGCTGGGCCAGCTGTGCTGACACCCAGATTGCAATGGCTGGTGTCCAAGCCAAACTGGATGGGGATCAGAACCAGCTAATGTCCTAATCAATACTTACCATCAATCTGGTAGGCTGGGTCCACCAGAGCGTTGTCCTCAAGTCAGACATCAAACTGGTGGCTGCTGCCCACATTGGGACCATTAGGAAATCCAGCAGGGGTTGCCATATCCAGCCTTTATACAAAAGGTTATAAAGCTCAACCAAGGTAAAGACGACCAAGATGGATGACAGTGCCCATCCATTCTCTATTGACCACACCTGCCAGGTTCAGCAAGACTATGCTGTCCTGTGTGGGAAACAGATATGCTCAGGCCAACCCCAGGCCACTTACCTGTCTCTACAGGAGATCAGCATGTCCTAATGCCCATCCTGTGGACTCTGGCTCCTGCAGAGAAACCAGAGGGCACTGTTTAACGCTACCCCGGCTAGAGTGAATTCCTTCAGGATTAAGATGTAATGGTCCAGATTACTCCAAATCAGAATGATGTTATTCTGAACCCTAAGGTCATCCTGCAGTGCTCCTGACTCATAACCACACACTTGTGTGCACTTTCTTGTCCTAATGTTGCTGGCACCTAGTTTATATCAAGTCAACTTCTCTTTCCTTCCTTCCACCCTTCCTTCCTTTCCTTCTTTTCCCTTTGTAGCACTGGGGATCAAACCCAGGGCCTCATGTGTACTAGGTAGGCACTCTACCACTCAGCTATATTTCCAGCCCCTCTTGCATTTCTAACATTGTTGAGAGTTCAGAGGTGTGCACTGATAGTGACCTCTTTTCCCCTTCCAGAAGGCTGGGCCCATTTTATCCTGATAAGAAGCATAAAGAGAGAAGTCCCGCACAAGAGACAGTTAGGACCACAGTTCTGGTGGCCTACTCAGGTGTTCACAATCCCTCCACCAACATGGCCCTGATCCTTCTACCCTAGAGTCCACTCCTGTACTATGGAATAGTATCTGCCTCTCCTGATGCTCCCAGAGGCCAGCCCAGATCTTTTGTTCTCCCAAATAGGCAGCAGCTCCCCAGTCCATAAGATACCAGTGGCAAGTAGGCTACTGATCCCAGAGCTATGTTCAAGTGCAACCTGGGACCTGGCTCTTGGGTGACCACATTGTATGGAGCCAAGATGGGGACAAGGTGGCACCTGTCCCTCACATAGGCCACAGCTCACAGTCCTGGAACCACACACTTCCTGAATCAGCCAATAGCCTGGGGACATATTCCCTCTAATTATATCCACATCTGGAGACTGCCAAAGCACCCATGTTGTAAAAATTAGAACCAGAATGGCATAGATAGGCAGGGAGGGATGGCCTTGGTTGGGAAGCACTTTCTTCTACCTGAGTGGAGGGTATTGGGAAGCCATGTCTGAGGAGAAAGCTGATAATGCTGGGAGTTCTTTTGCCTCTGCTCTATGGTATTTTCCAGATTGTTCTGAGTTTCTACCCAACCTGTGTGGATGTGATCTATTTGGGCATGCCAACAGCCCCTTCATCATGGGGAAGAACTTTGTGTAGGAGTGGGAACAGGCCATGGGTCAGGGCAGGAACATTAGGGGTTAGGGGATTAGGACCTGGAAGTCAGAGGCAGGAACAAACTGGGGCTCTAAGCTGGTGCATGCTCATGTGCACAATTAGTGTGCATCTGTGTATAGACCAGCCTGGAAGGACTTATCTGGAAGCAGCAGGTAGGCATGGTTTAGGGCTAGCCCCTAATATCCTCCACCCAAGTAGATAAAAATGCTATTCCTATCCTGAGGTCTGAGGCTCAGGAATCCTTCCTCTCAATATGACATCTCTGGGACACATTTGCTTTTAGTTTAAATATTCACAACAATTTTGTCCCACAAAGAACTGTGTGAATTTATCATCAACCTTGATATCTTACAGTCTCTCCTCGGGACTTGCCATGTGTCGCTGTTTTGTGCAATGCAGGTTGTCTGCCAACATCTCACTGATTCCTTCTAGGTGCCCTGAGTAGAGCTAACACCTCATTTTATAGATGATGAAACCAGGTCCAGGACAGAAAGTGATTGGACCAACATCTGAGCTCAGATCTTCCTGTCTCCAGAGTTCCCCATAATTTCTACCCAGCTGGGGATGGCACGTCCTCAGGAAGAATAGGGCTCCTGCCTTGCAAGGTGTCTCAGAGGTGGTGGTGGGAGCAGTGGTGGGGAAGAAGAAGGGACTGTGGAGGCAGAATAGTGGTAGCCAGAAGGAATGTGTCTTGGTCTTAAGAGTGTCCTTGTCATAGTGGCTTCATACAGGTGAGGTCAAGGCAGAATGATTGTAGCCAGTCTGCTGGAAGCCCTGGGGCAGTAGATGGATGGAGGAAGTGATTTAAGAAGTGACAGAACAGAGATATGTAGATCTAATGATGAGAATTGTGACAAGGGGGTAGGAGATACCCATTTGAGAAGACCTTTCAACACTCCTTGAGGCTAGTCTATAGGCTCAGGGGTTATCCATCTGGTCAAGGACTCAGAAATAGGAATCTTGTAGCTAGGAGAGCCACCAACCTTGTCAGATGGTTCATCCAAATAGGTTGGCCTGGTCCTATCCTTACCATGACCACTCCATGCTGGGACTCCCCACCAAACTTCCTAGTCACAGCCAAGCCCTGGGGTACTACTAGGCCCTGCCCACTCCCCACAGAACCATCTCCAGTCCTGGGAAGGTCTACAGCTCTGATGTAGTATCTGTGGCCCAAACAGAAGACACAGACTAGGGCATGAGCCCAGCCCAGGCCGCAAGGACCAGTCATGCAACCAGACCATGAGCTACAAGTCCTAAGAATATGAACTGCATGAAGCAGTTCCTATGGTCACAAGCTGAGTCCACAGTGGGGACAGGATCTAGATTGGGCATGCTAGGCACGCGGCTTGGGGCCCACGGCCCAGTGAGATCAGATAGGTCTGAGAACTTGCTTTATATGGCTGCAGTGTGAACTTGGTAGGCTATAGCCCTAGACAGATCTCCTCCAAACCTGCTCTGTGAGCAGAGGTGGAACTGAATACAAGTAGCTGGGGATATGTTCTTCCAGAAACCAAGGTGGGCATATTTATGGACCACACCTTGGCCACCACTGAACAGGGGAGATTCATGTTTCTCAATGACAATGGTGTCCACCATAGCAAAACCAATGTGTTCCTTTAGGCAGCTACCACCCTGAGAACATCATGAGGACATAACCCATGCCTGAACCTGCTGTGGTGACAGGACCAGGCTTGGGAAAGTGGCTGGGGTGCATGTCTGAAAGAGGCCTTTCAGGGCCATGCAAGAACAGGGCTCCATTTTTCACTGTTCCCACCATTTGGCCCTGGAGTCTACATCCAAGTGTAAGGGGCACCAAGGGGCTTGCCCCATGATCTCTTTTCCAGATCCACATTCTTGACAAGTAGCCCAGAGGAAGCAGAGCTTTGGCCTCCCAGGTGGGCACCTCAGGAAAGGTTCTAGCCCTTAGAAGGAGACTGAGTGAAGATAGTCTTGTCTGCCATGACCATGGTCCCAGCTGCCCTCTGGTGGCCATGGCTGGCCCCTAGTTGCTTTGCAAGAGGTCAGCAGCCCCTCACTGGGCAGAAGCAGTGAAAAGGGCCAGTGAATGACTCAGTGGAGAAAGGAAGACACGTGTGTGTGTGTGTGTGTGTGTGTGTGTGTGTGTATGTCTGCTAATTCTGAAAATATCTTCTCAACCTGAAACAGGCTGATAGGTGAGCTCCTTAGCTAGAACGTCCACAAAGGGATCTCTGACCCTCTATTTTCCTAATTCTGGGGTTCTTACAGAGTGGCCTAAAACCTCATCCTGACCTTAATGAAAGCCTGTTGTAAAACACATAAATTGTCTCTCAACAAGAGTTGCTGTCTGGAAGTCTCCAGACTTTCTTGTGGCCCACCTGGTCTCTTGCAGTGCTGCCTCAGGGACTCCTCCATCCTCCATTCCTGGCAGAGTGGGCCTTGACTCCAACTGAAACTCTGCCCCCTCCCCCTGTGTTAGAGAATATGACAGATGCGGGGGCTGGCCAGACATGCCTGGTATCCTTGGCATAGCTCCTGGCTCCTCCTTGCAGGGTATCTCATTACTTCTGCTCTCACTCCAGGATGGCCTTGTGCCCCCTAGGCCTCTTGGTGTGAAATAACTCAGCCTGAGTCCTTGTGAAGCACAGAGCTGCAGCCCCATTCTCATGAGAGAGGTTGAGAAATGCAAAGGGCCTCTGGGACTTGGAAGAGATTTGAAGGGCCACCTCTAGAGGGGGTGTCAGATCTAACATAGGAAATCAAGCAGTCTAATTGTGACAGGTGGTGGGAGCAGAACAGAGTTTAAGCAGGACAAAGGGCTAAATGGAGTTCCAGCTTTGGATAGCAGGTCCTCGGGTCTACACAAATCCCAAAGGCAGTCCAGCTAGAAAAATCCAGTGGGAGGCTGTTCTCAGGATCACCCTCCTCACCAATTTTGGACTTGAGTTCTTGTGCTTAGTAAATACTCTGTGCTCAGTCATATGCATAAGGTGCACCCCAAACAGAAAATAGGTATGAAGTTAGGGGACAGCAGAGAGCAATCACCTCAGTTGAGATGGGACAAGGATGGGGGAAAAGTCTATGCCTTTCCAGATCTCAAGGCCTGTACTACCTGCTCAGGAACTGACTGGACATGGCTCTACAATGCTGGACCAGAGAACTCTGTCTCTGGTGTCCAACACTATCTCAGGTCCAAAGATACAAGGAGCACAAGATAAGCAGCATCTGCTCTGAATGGACCAACTCTATGACCACAGCCTGGATCCTGGAGTAGAGGCAGAAGGGCTATTGTCACCAAGGGGCTGGAGGTTCCCAGTGTACCTCTGGCTGGTATTCAGGGGATGATTTCCCCTGAGAGACATCTTGCTCATCACTCCACCCTCTGGGCTAATACATTCTGGCCTGTGCATTACAATGTGGAATGTGTATGACCACCTGAGATTGTTAGCTCATATCACCAGACCAGTGTAGTGGAGAAAGCCTGAGGAGGCCTGTAATCTAGCTACTCAGGAGGCTTAGGCAGAAAGATCACAAGTTCAAATACAGCCTCAGCAACTTAGAGAATCTGTCTCAAAATTTAAAAATAAAAAAGGGCTGGGGATGTTGCCAATAAGAAAGGTGGGGGGGTGAGGAAGAGACTACTTACCCTAAAGGTTGACACCCAGGGGTCTGAATATGTCTGAATTTAGAGGGAAGGAGCCAAAGTTTTTTAGTTCGATATTCAATCTGATAGATAACACAATCAGAAAGGATTAAATGTAACCCAGTACTGAATTATTAAAGAGTTAAAATGGGAAAGCTAGGGAACTTAGACTCCTGCCCTGGGCAACTCCTCAGCAATTCCAGATTACACACTACTCAGAGTAACCAGGACCTGCATCCGACAGAGAAGGGGGCAGGAATGACGTGGGGAAGTGACCCAGGCGGGGATACCAGACAGGGATCCCCGGCGGTGTCTCTCGCTTATTCCCCAGGCGGCAGCAGCAGCGCGATGCGGGAACATCCCCTTGGCCAGGCTGAGTCCCTACGGCACACCACCCCTGGAAAGTTCCCCGGCCTCGCCGCCCCTTAGTCCCTTGGAAAGTTTCCGTGGCCGCCCTCGAGGCGCCGTAGTCGCTCGGTGTGGACATCGCTGCGGAGCTGGGATGCACTCAGCTGGGGGCGCGCAACGCTAGGCGCCCCCCGCCAGGTCCGGCAGAGCCCTGAGGCTGCGCACAAAGGGACCCGCCCCCGCGGGCCACGAGACTCCAGCGCGACGGTGAGAGCAAAAAGCTGGTGAGGTGGAGCTGGCCACCGCCCCCCCCCGCCCCCCAATCCCATTCTCACGTGCACCTGGACTCAGGGCCCAGGAACCCATTTCTCCTGTCCTATTCGCACCACAGGTCCCAGACCCCGGCTCAGCACCAACCAGACGTGAATTTCCAAACCTCCTCCCCAGCCCCGGGTTCCCGACCCCGCCCACCGGCTTGAGCTTACCTGGAGTGCAGCGTGGGCGGCTCCGCAACGCGGTCTCCGCCTCCAGTCAAGCTTCCCTGGGTCTTTAGGCGTGCGGGGAGAGGCGTTGCCACCGCGCTGCGCGGGTTGCGGGCCACAGGGCCGCAACTTGAGCCGGTGCAGGAGCAGACCCCTCCCTCCCCGGCCCAGCGCTCAGCCCGTCAGCCACCCTCCCCGCCCCTCGCGCGGATCGTGCGCAAAGCTGCCCAGGCCGGCGACGCGACCCTCTGCCCCGCCCCATCTAACTGAGAATTTTCCCATTGGTCGAGAAGCCCGGCAACCCATGCCGATTGGACCGTTGCACAGAGAAGACGCCTTACCATTGGCCCTCGAGGTTGTCAGTTTGGCCAACGACCGGCCCCCTCGCGGAGAGGCCGAGGCCTCTGCACCTGCCTGGAACGTTGGTGGAGGCCAGGGGCTCGGGACTGCCCCCTCCAGGCTGTCTTCTGAGGACGTTCTCAGATTGTCCGGCCTCGAAAGCGGGGATTGGGCACCGCCGGCGACTCTTCCCTACACTCCGGCAGTGTTGTGTCCATCACCAACCCTAGTTCGCAGGTATCCTCCAGCGCTGGGCGCTGCGCTCAGATCCCTTCTACTACCGTCGAATTGTATCCCTCACGTAATCGGTGATGGAGAGTTCTGCTACTTACCTCATTTTATTTACATTTTAGGGACAAAAAAACGAGGCTCAGAGAGGTTCTTGCTTTAGATGACGGGTTTAGTTGTCCGACTTCGGAATCTGGGAACTCTCCCACTCTCACCGCCCACCTGCAGCCCCTGCGGAGTTGCGTTCTTGGCTTAGTGAGGCTGTGGAGTGGAAGAGGGCAGGAACGGAGTCCTTGGTAAACTTCCTCCCCCACCGGGCCTTGATCTACAGAACCCTTGGGCTTTCACCATCCTGCAGTTCCTCTATGACCCCCTTTTCACCTCCTGGTGGCCTGGACACAACTCTCAGCCTGGGTACGGGATGTTATGTTTCTTCTCACTCCATTCTGGTGTCCCTTTCCCCTGTATTACCTGGAGTGATAAAGGAACATTGTGGGATTTTGGCTACCTCCTGCTGAGATCAGCACAAGCCTCATTTTCCCGTCCCATACTGAGAGCACCAACCTCCTCCCTGCAGTGATAACCCTAGGCCAGCTCCACTTACCTTTGTGGTTTCAGGGGAACCAACAGGAATGTTATCCAGTGGGGCTAGTTTTTGGAGAGTGAGTCAGTGAACCTGGCTCATATTTGGTTCTAAACCTTTCGTACCCTGATGAACCTGGAGATGACTAGTTCCTAGGTTCCTTGTATTCCCCAAGACCACAAGAGGAGCAAATTTACCTGCAGACAGTACTAATGGAAGTACACTTAGATCTAATACAGACACTTAGATCTAATCCAACTATTTAGAGACTCCAGTTGTTCACCCAAGTTGCTTGGTCAGAACAAAGGAAGTGGCGTAGGTCAAACCCTCACCATTGGTACCACCATTGGGTCCCCCTGAGTCCTGGCAGACATAATAAATCAATTTCAGCATGACACAGCCACTACCAATCCATTATTTTTTGCCATTTGATGTGAAAGCCATTTGGCATCTAGGCATAGGAATGCTGTTTGCAGCTGGCGGCGGGGTTGCAGAATGAGGCATCACCCCCTGGAACTCAAGAGCCCTTGTGAACAATGTAGCTCTCTTCCTGTGGAGCTGCACTGTGGGTAACATCTTGACTCAGATGCTATGTGGCTGGGCAGAGGGTGTTTAGTTTACTCCTTACGGGAGATTTAATAAGTCTGTCACAGGGCATCTCTTCAAGGACATCAGACCCTGCTACTCCTGGAGCCCTTATTGTGATGACCTCGTAGTCACGTACCACCTCCTCCTTACACTCATTTATAAGACCCAGATCCTGCTTGTTCAACATCACTATGTCTTAGCTCTATGGACTGTATGGTCTGGCAGCTCAGAGGGAGATGGCTGGCACTAGCCAAACAGGATTGTGCTGCTGCTGTTCTATAGGAAGGGAGCTGCATGTCTGGATAGGACTGCCACCTACTGGACATGAGTCCTAGAGTGTCTGGAGTTCTCTTGAAAGGCTTCTATAGGTTCCTGAGGCATACAGTTACAACAGCTAGAGAGCTGGGCAGAATGTGCTGTTGGGTCGTTCTGGGTTAGATTATTGCGTTTGCTTCTCTGAGCTGCAGTTTTCCATAGGGTGTCAGTGCTCCAGGTCAGGGTCAGGACATCAGGGTCTTCAACACAGGCCAGTGGATATAATCCAGTCACCATTTTGACTTCAACTGGATGGCATAACTGCTCAGTGTTTATGTCTGTAAACTGGGTGAATAAGAATTGTGGACTGAGGGCTAGGGCTGTAGCTCAATGGCAGAGTGCTTGCCTAGCAAGTGTGAGGCACTGGGTTTGATCCTCAGCACTACATTAAAGAAAAAAATATATATGTATATATATTTTAAAAACCCGTGGACTAAGGCACTGGGTTTAGAGTTCTTAACACATTGTCAGTATTCTTAATGTAGTTGTCATAGTTTGTTGAACACTCACTTTGGGGCAGGCCCTGGGCCTTTGGTCCTTGACTCTCCAACTATGCAGTGCTCAGGCCCCTGATATACCTCTGAAGCCACCGGGGACAGGAAGCCCCAGGGAATGTCTCTATCTTTTTGAGACTAGCTCCAGTGAGTTCCCATCTGCTCACCTGGTACAGCTCCTCATCCTTGAGGCCTGGACCTGCAGAAGAACAGTCCACATGGGGGCTCAAAAGCTTTAGTAGCTCAGGTGTGGCTGAATGGCCTGGTCAAGGGTCTGGGCTGTGTCCTGATACAGGAACATCAGGAATTAGGGCTGCAGTGGGGAGAGGGGCAGAGGCTAGAGAGGCAAACTGGAGCGGGGAAGCGAAGAGGATGTCCAGAACAGAGGATGGATGAGTCCAGAGGTCGAGTTTAGGGGACAGGGATTGGAAGACTAGGACCAAGTCAGAGGGGGGCGGTCTGCAAGCGAGCATCCCTGTGCCCTTCCAGGAAGGAGAGCAGGGTGGACAGGTGACATGGTGTCCGCGAGGGCACAGGCTCAGGGACATTCGATTTTCCGAAGACACCTCAGCTGGCTGAGGAGCCCTGGAGACCAGCAAGGCCATGGGGTCACGTGGCGCTCAGACGCCAGCACAGCTTCCAGACTTGACGCAGCTCTACTGCAGCCCCTGAGCGACAGCGCGAAGAGCCAACCGGGCCCTGCTCTTAGGTGCTCTACTCTGCCCCTCATCTCCTAGTCCAATGACTAAGTGCACTGGCAGAGGGTGGGGCGGGGCTTGAGCTGGCGACTGTGCCGCGCGGGCGCGGTACCCGGAAGTCGGCGGCAGCGGCGGCGGAGGCGGAGGCGGTGAGTGCGCGGCGGGCCACAAGGCCTGGACAACACTGCTCCCTGCGGGGTCGGCCGGGGATCGGGGACTCAGGGTTCTTGGGGCTCCGGTGGGACCGAGCTGCATCAGGGCGAGGCAGGCTGCACCAGGGCGAGGCGGGCTGCACTTCTTCGCCGTGCCTCAGTTTCCCTTTTCCAAGGCGTAGTGCGGAAATCTGGCGGCCTGGCTCAGGGATTCTGTTGGGTCCAGGGAGACCAGACCACCCTGGCCAACGAAAGCATCCCATGCAGTACTGGAAGGCGTTTGCAGCGTTCAGGTTGAGACCGCTTGCACACAGGAGCAAACTCGCTGAGGGAATGCTGAGATTGGTGGGGTATGGAGCTTCGTGGTCGCAGCAGAGTGGTAGGATGCGGCCTCAGCCAGCGTCAGGGACTACTCTGGAGCCGAGTCATGCTGGCCCATCCCCCATGCTATCGCGCCACAGCAGGATGACAGCTGTTGCCCCTTTAGAGTAAGTAGCAAGTGCTGGGTCATCCCAGTGCCTGGATGCGGCCTTCCTGGGGGTATCTTGAATAGTTAAACCCCCACCTCAACCCTACCTGGAAGGCAGGGGTGTGGACTAGGCAGGACTTCACCCAGACCAGGCCTGGTCCCACTGCTGGACTAGGCCTGTATTCTCTTGGGTAATGGACACAGAGGGCCAGTTGCTGAGAATCCCTACCTTGTGCCTAGCACCTCTCCCATACTCCTTGGCTTCCTTCTGGGTCACAGCTTTGGAGTGAACTTTCTACCCTTGGATAAGTCCCTGAGCTTCTGGAGCCTCTTTATCCAATGGAACAGCCCATGCTGTGGGTGGGCCAGGTCTTTCATACCTCTCTGGACCCACCGACTGCTATTTTGCTACCACTCTGGCTCAGCCATCTTCCATGAGAAAGATGTGATGGCAGCAATAAGAGGCAGCTGTGTGGTGCTTAGGAAGGTATCCTCACACTTGCTCAATTACCCTCTGGGTAACTTTTTGGGGTAAGTATTTATTAGTCCAACCCTTTTTATAGTGAAGAAAATTCAGGCTAAGGGGACAGGTGGAGTTTCCAAGGTCATTTAGGGCTAGGACTGGCTCCCAGTGCTTCTATTGTACCTGGGCCCCCTTCCCAGGAGCACTTCTGAATCAGGTGATCTGTCTGGTGGAGTGGTAGTATTGGGGAGAGTGACTCGGATGGGCACAGCAGAACCTCTGCCTCCTCTGGGATCCCCAGGATCCCAGCACCCTGGTGGGGCTGGGTGACATGTTCTGGTATTCTCACCTCCTTGGGCCCCTATAGCAAGGGTTCTCAGTTCCAGGTTTTCATGTTACTTGCATGTCCTTGGACTGCAGGCCTCTCAATCTGAGCACCTGCCTTCTCTGATGAGTGATGACAATAGCGTTTTCCTAAATGAAGATGATTGGCTACCACAGCTCCGCCTGGGCTGCTCTGCCCCTATGCTTCATTGATGTCTTTACTTGTACATTGTTATTCCAATCGTGTTTCATGATGAATATAATCACTTGCAATATTGTGGGGTCTGGATCTGTCCTTACCTTCTAAGACAGATGGTGGTTCTTATGACTACTTTCTGTGTCAGATGGTGATCTCTGCTGTCATCCTGATGTCTGCCCACGGGTGCTACTTTTGAGAATGTCTGTGGAGAGAGTGGGTCTGTAGAGAAATGATGTAAGACTGGGAGGCCTGGAGGATTTCAAGAAGTGGGACCGTGCTTGTCATTGACACTCTAGGTGGGTGAGAACTGGGGTCCATCCTTTGGTAATGTA